CCTCAAACTGCTGAGTGGCGCTCTAGAGCTCAAAACGACCGGTCGGATCGTTACACATGTCTTCTTCTTCTTCTTCGACAAGTTTCAATCTGAAATTCAGCTAAAACCAAGTCTAATCTTCACCAGAACCCCTCAAAATTGAGATATAAACTCCAGACCATATTCCCAATTATTTGCAACAACCCCCAATCCAAACAAATAATGATTTTTGAAAACACAAATTCGAGTTCAAAGCTTCAAAGCTTTTTAATGGCTGTCAATGGTGGAATTGCTGCTCTCTTTTCCTTTGCTTTACATTACTGAAATTTGGGATTGAGAGATAGAGAGAGACGTAGGGAGAATTCTCAATGCTTTGCAACAACATCCAATCCAAACAAACAATGTTTTTTGAAAACCCAAATTCGAATTCAAAGCTTCAAAGCTTTTTAATGGTTGTTAATGGTGGAATTGCTGCTCTCTTGTGCAAGATACATGGGGAGGGGGGGTGAGATATGGAGAGAGAAATGTGGGGGAGTGAAAGATATGTTAGAGTAATTAGGACACTAATTATTATCATTAATTCCCTTAAAATGTACATAAATGGTAATTGGGTATATAAAATATAATTATAGTAAAACTTGAGTAGGGAGGGTAAAATAGTTATATAGTGTTTAGGAATGTAAAAATTCCTTATTAGAATAGATTAGTTACATCTTAAGGAGCTTGAATCTTAGTTTTGGGATAATTTGGTGGAGTTTTGAGGTGGTTTGAATTGAAAATTCGAAGTGAACATGAAAAAATGACATGTCTATCACACTGTGTATCACTTGTTTATCAGATATGTATCATATTTGTATCAAATGTGTATCACATGTATATCCATGTATACATGCGTGTGAGATACATGTGTGATATATGTTTGATACATGTGTCACAGAAGAAATTTTTGGGCGAAAATTATAAGGATATTTTGGTCTTTGGAGCAAATTTTACACGATATAAAAGCTTCTTTTCGCCTCCCAGCCAATATCTCGACCTGGAAAGAAGAGAACATTACTTTCGAAGCAGGGAAGGGCTTGGAAGAGTCTAAAAAACATCCTGATCAAAGATTTGAAGTGTTTCTCTCAACTTTTCTTATTTTCATTTATTATGGAGATTGTTTTGAGAATAGACATTCTGTTTTTAGTATAAACATGAGTAGCTAAATTCCCTATCTAAGGTATTGATGAACTCGTTGTTGGCGGTTTTGAGTAAATATTCCTGAATCGTTGATATTTATTCTATTTGTTTGGCTGCGGTTTTAATTAATTCAATTGTTTGAGCTTGGAATTACTTATGCCCTATTTCTTGTTATTCTTGGGAAAGATTGACAAGGATGGGTCAGTCAAACAACAGTACTTCGGGTTGAATTAAGGAATTAATTAACCCGATTTAGAATAGTTATGGGGACATCAGGATTCGACTGTGACCTAGAATTAGACGAGTTTATTATCTTGATTATTTTGGAAAAATCAGTTTAAGAATTATATTGTTAGTAGTTGGAAAACTCTAGGGAACAACTTTAGGCCCAAGGTTGATAGAATAATGGCAAACGAAGTTTCAAGATTTCACTCAGAGCTAGCCTGACAATTGGGGGATTCTCTACCGTAGGCCTTTTTATCGTCTGCAAATTTCTTAAGTTATTCTCGACTTCTAGTTTAGTTTGTTGTTAGTTACTTGAATCTAATTCATTAGTTAATATCCACAAATCCAAGTATATATATCTTTTTTGTTCAGTTTAGATTATTTAGTGATTGAGTCAACTAGAACGCTTCATAGCTCTCTGTGGGATACGACCCCGACTCATAATTGGATAAATTATATTGTATACGACTGTAGCATATTTCTTATCGAAGTGTGAATCTCTTAACGCTTCGTGAAAGAACGTAAGTGATGATAGGCTATAATTGCATATTTTAGTCGCTTATTACACTCGAATTTATTGCACTTTAATTGAGTTTGCGCTTTAATCGCTAGTGTTTTGCACTAATTGTGTGTTTTATGCCTTGTAGGTGTGATTCCGAGCTATATAGATGTTATGGAATGAATTTAAGTGATTTGAAGCTTTGAAGTCTGAGTAAAAGCTCAAGGAATTAAGCCGGGATCGTGTTCGGGGGTCAAATTTGATAATTAAGTACGAACGAAGACTTGAGGAGGCATATTGCGCACTGTCTAGTAAAATAGACATAACTTTTTGCTCAGAACTCCATTTGGGCTCCACAATATATGGTTGAAAAGCTAACTCAAAGGAATACAACTTTCATGTTTTACGTTTTTCCAAATTCCCAAAGGGAACAGGGTGAAAAACCGCGGTTCCACCGCGACCGCACTAGAACCGCGGTAGAAGATGGTCGCGGACAACTGAAGAATCAGAGGGCATGTTTGGCCGCGGTTCCACCGCGACCGCGGAAAAACCGCGGCAGGAGGCGGAAATTTCAGGGACTTATGTGCAAAACACGGAATTTTAAGCCCTAAACCCTATATTAAACCAAGGAAGCCGGCCAAGAAAGGAGGGAGGACATATTTTGGACACAAATTAGACCTAAGGAGGCGGAGAGACACTACTTTAGGGTTACACAACACCCTTGGAGGCAAGAACATATTGGGAGCAAGGCGGGGAATTCTTCTACGAGTTTTTTCCTTCCTCTTCCTATTTTTCATTGTTGGTTATAACTTTTAGTATTGTAGTTTTACATACTATTATGAATAGCTAATTTGTTATCTAGAGTTTTGATAGAACCTTTTGTAGGATAAATTCTTGTTATGTTTTTATATAATTGAGCCATAGCTTTTCTCTATTTGTTCAACTACGTTTATATTCTGGTTGATTGAAGAGCTCTCAATTAGCTGTGCCTATTTAGTATGCATAACTCGGGAGAGAGTGCATATTTAGGTAATTGTTGAACAACACCACTCCCAGAGTATATGAGGGATCAATAACCGAGGGTTTAAAGGTGGGATTAGGGATAACGAAGCCTTGGGTGCGATCTGAAGTGAGCTGTATTAAAAGCCAGCTAGCGTAGCTCGGGAGAGTGCGTCTAGCAAATTGTCGTAATTACTCGGGAGAGATTTACGGTAATAAGAGTGCTCATGATCGGTAGAGAATACTTAGGCGAAATTATAGAAGACATAGCGGGAAGGATTCCGACAATTGGGGAAATCATAACTCTAGACCTCTTTAATCTTTTCTCTAACCCTCAGTGTCGTTAGTTGTTAATTTACTATTTTAATTTGTTAGTTAATTAGTTAAACACAAGAATCTTAATATCTATAAGTTAGGAATTGTTCAAGCTTGTCTTCTTGGTGATAGTGAACAGCTGTGGCTAAACCTTAGTTCTCTGTGGGATTCAACTCCGGACTTGTAAACCGGATTATATTTGCAGCGACCGCTTAGTCCTTTTTATAAGGCATAGTTGGGCGTGATCAGTAAGCTTCGTCGATAGTCCAGCAAATCAGCAGCCTAATAAAGTTGGGACTAAGAGCCCGTTTGGATTGGCTTAAAAAAGTGGCAAGCACTTTTTTAGTGCTGGGGCTTATTTCTTAAATAAGTAGTTACGTGTTTGGATAAAAGTGCTGAAGCTGAAAAAAAAGTTGTTGAAGTGTTTGGTAAACAATTGCTAGTAAGCACTTTTTCTGTTAAAATGACTGAAATATCCTTAAAGCTGTTAACACTAAAAATGAGCTTATTACTACAACATCCTTAATGTAAAATTAACTTAAACACGGATTAATTTATGTCTTAATTAACTTTAAATCAAATTAATTAGATAACATTATTTTCAATAAATATAAACCATATGCCAATAGAATTGCAAATGCTTCTGGTATGAATATTCAGTGTAATTAAGGGTCTTATTAATTGCTTATCACAGAAAAAACAAACCTACCTAACTTATTATATTGCAGCTTGTAATAAACTTTAATCCTACCATACGTAGCGTTCAAAAATACTGGAAAAGATGAGATGGAGGTCTAATACGAAGGAAGAAAAGTT